AAAGGGAAAGAGGGGCACTGATCTCCATGAGCTCTTCTCTGGGTCTGGTACAGTCCTGTCACTGTCAGGAGCCTTCACACATCACTGGGGCACCAGAGCCCTTCGTGGGCCTTGCAAGTGGAATTGTTGCTGTGGAATTTAATATTTTTCCTTTCAAAAAGGACTGTGGACTGCCCCTGGGGCCAAATGGCTCCAGTGTTTCACTTCATGTGGGAGAAGGACATCAGGAGGAATTTCTTCCTGGAAAGAGTGGTCAGGCTTTGGAAGGGGCTGCCCAGGGAGGTGGTGGAGTCACATCCCTGGAGATGTTCAAGGAACGACTGGACGTGGCACTCAGTGCTCTGGGCTGGGGGACAAGGTGGTGTTTGGTCAAAAATTGGACTGGAAGATCTTGGAGGCCTTTTCCAACCTTGGTGATTCCATATGGAACATTCCTGCACTGTGGACTTCCCTGCTTCGTTCAGGGCCAAGATCACACAAGGCCCTTAGTGGCAACCAGGTTTTTCTGTGGAGTTTCTGTAAAAGCCACCACTTCAGGCAGGTCTGAGTCAGTGCTGCTCCCTGAGAAGTAGAGGAGATGGTTATCTGCACATGCAGCCTGTTAGTGAGCACAAACACAAACGGGCTCACACTTTTGTGAACTCCCACTCACAGTTGCTGATAAATGGGTGAGTAGCTGAGGTTTTAATGAGCTGGGAGGTCAGAAAAGCAGCTCTGGCCAGGAATGGGAGTGCTCAGGAGGAAATCTTAGGAAGAGCTGCCATGGAGTGCATAAATAAAAATTAAACATTAATCGGGAACCTGCAGCCAGGTCAAACCAAAGTTAAGTTTGTCAGGTTTGTCTTTGAACTAAGAAGTATTTCATGTTGAATCAAAGTTATTTTAAAGCTTTCTGTGATGTAATATTTAAAAAACCCCCAAAAAACAAAACAAAAAACCAAACCCAAACATGTGCCTGAGCTCCAGGAATCAGCTCTTCAGTTCATCCTCCTGCACAGCGCCAGCTCCTCTTGGGATAAATGACTTGGAAAGGCAACTGCGGGCATTTTTCAGCCCTTCTTATCTTCAGCCATAAATCCAGTTCTCAGATCAAATCAGGAACAACTGAATGGAATCCAGGGAAGGGATGGGGGACAGCCAGAAGGTCCCTGCACATGCAAGTCCAGAGGGAAGTGGCTGCTGCTTGAGATCACTCTGTCTCTGCCACCCCTCTGCTCCTCACCCCCAGCTCCCAGCCCTAAATCCTCCCCACCCCTTCTCTGTGCCACAGAGAAGGCTCAGCCCTGCTCCTCCATCCAGCCACCCCTCTGTGGGGACCATCAGGGCTCCTGGAGAGCTCAGGGAACAGGAGGGTTGTGATAACCTTGGGTACAGACCTGTGCTCAGGGCTCTCCTGAAGGGGCTGTAGCAGCACCGTAACAATGCACGTTTATTCTTTGAGGGAGTGCAGGTGACACCACAAGAAGCACCTTCCCTTCCCATGGGGTGGTCAAAGAGGCCAGTTCACACGGACAAGGAGGCTCCCCAGGCCAGAGGAGCTCGGGGCAGAGTGGTGCTCCACACCCACCCCGCTGACTCACCTGCTGCAGGTCAAGCAGCTGAACTGGGCTGCCCCTGGAACCCCCCCTGTGCCACAGGACACTCCCAACCCTGAGGGGCAGCAGAAGAGACCTCAGAGGAGCCCAAAGACCCCACCACCCACCCCAGGCTGACCTCACCTCTCAGCAATGCCAGATTTACCAGGCACTTCCAGCTGCCCCTGCTCCCCTTCCCCAGTCAAACCCCATGTAGGGGGTGGTTACAAACCCCACACTGCCCCCACAGACCTCGGCAGCAGCTCCCAGCACCACCTCCAAAGCATCCCCTGACCCCTCCATGCTGGTTCCCACCCTCCAGCCCCTGATCTCCTCTTGGGCAGGTCCCTCCTCTCCCCCAGGGTGACCCAACCACCTTAAAGGGACAGCTCAGCCAGCCAGGGCTGTGATCTAAAGGATTATTTGTGATATAAGGGATTATATGGGATTATTGTGTTATATGGGATTGTGTTATATGGGATTATTTGTGTTATATAGAATTATTTTTTTTTTTTTTTTTTTTTTGGTATATGGGGGTATTTGTGGTATAAGGGATTATTTGTGCTATATGGGATTTTTGTGATATATGGGGTTATTTATGGTATATGGGATTTATTTGTGTTATACAGGATTATTTGTGTTATATGGGATTGTTTGTGGTATATGGGATTGTTTGTGGTAAAAGGAATTATTTGTGGTATATGGGATTTATTTGTGTTATATGGGGTTATTTGTGTTATGTGGAATTATTTGTGGTATATGGGATTGTTTGTGGTATATGGGATTTATGTGTGTTATATAGGATTATTTTATTTTTATTTGTGTTATATGGGATTATTTGTGATATATGGGGTTATTTGTATTATATGGGATTTATTTGTGGTATATGGGGTTATTTGTGGTATATGGAATGTTTTGGGGTATATGGGGTTGTTTGTGTTATATGGGATTATTGCTGCCAGGACAATGGGACAGAAAATATGGTCCTAACAGGATGCTGAAGTTTGCCAGTGCTGCCTCCAGTTTCACCAGTGCTCCTGGGAACTGGCTCTGTATTCACACAAAGTGCTTCTGCTGTTCTGAGAAGTTACAAAATCAAACCAGTTCCTGTTGGTTCCTGTCTGATGAGTGAAATAAGTGCCCAGCTATATATGGACGTGATTGCCTGACATCTCCTGGGTGCCGTGGGCACAGATCCCACTGCCTTTGACATGGGGGTTCTTTTTATTCAGGACATCTCCGTGTCATGACACCAACGTGCAAACATGGCCATCACCACAGGGGCCCTGGGTGACAGCCCCGAGGGCTCTGTCTGACCTGAGGGGAGCACCCAAACCCAACAGGAACACCCAGGGCCAGAGACTGGGCAGGTGCTGGAAAAATCAGGTCCTGTCACTTGAAATTAGTGATGGTGGAGGGTCCTTTGCACAGCTGCTTCTGGGCATTTGTTACATTCACCAAATCAGTCCATGAAATTGGTTCTAACTTTTGTCTGCTTTGGGAAAAGGAGGTTGTGTGAGGTTTGTGGAAGTCTGTTGGGGTTGTTCAGGGTTGCTCAGGTCCACCCAGACGTAGTGCCCAGGACAGAGCTCAAGGAGTGTTTGGATGATACTCTTGAACACAGAGTGTGACTCTTGGGGATGGGCCTGTGCAGGGCCAGGAGTTGGACTGGATGATCCCTGTGGGTCTCTTCCAACTCAGCACATTCTGTGGTTCTGTGACCAGAGCTGTAGTTTGGAAGAAGAGCTGAGTTATGCCCAGAAGACCCTGGGCTGGTGTGTGGGCAATGGCAAGAGCCAGGATGGTTGGACAAACCTTTTAAAAGTAAGAGGGGCTATAAATCATCCTGTTCAAGTTTGCTCTGCGACTTCAGCAGGTGACTTTCCCTCATGTCTGGGGACTTAGAAGTTTTTTCTAATAGGAGTCATTTCCTACCAGGGTTCACCTGTGACAGCAAGGTTTGGATGAGATGGGTGGCACAGCCTGAACCAAGGCCTGGGATCACTCCATGAGGGTTCCTTCACTCACAGCTCTGTGTTTGGAGAGGAAAACCAGCCTGTTTATAACAGAACACTCTGTGTAGGCAGCTGGAAATTTTGTGAGAGCTCAGATGTCACCAATGGCTTCCGCCACCTCATTTTCACCTGTCTGAACAATTTGTTTGCTGTGATGTTCTGCTCCTGGACTTTCCAGGAGAGGGAATCAGCATGTTTGGGTGCAGCATCCTTGTACCTCCCCGCTGTTTGTCCCAGGTGGGCAGTGGAAAGTAGCAGCACACGAAGAAGGCCACTGATCTCCCACTGCTCACTCAGCACTTCCTCCTGAACGTGACTCATGAGCTCACTGCAGTTAAACCCAAGAGCTGCAATCCTCAGTCTCACATCCTTCAGTCCTGGGAACAGGATGAGGTTGGGAAGACCTGGTCATCTGAGGGAACCAGGTTTAGGAATCAGGTCTGGGAACCAGTGCCTGGGCTGCTTTGATGCCTGGAGGCATCATGGGATTAGGACGTTTGCTTTGGTCACAAGCACCGACTCCAGTCTGGGTTTGAGCCATGGGGTGTTTTCCTTTGTGTCCCAGACTGGCAGCTCTGCCAAGACCCCACTCTGCTCCGTTGGATGGATTTGGTGGAAGGGGCTCCACAGTTGTGCTGTGCCTGACAGGGTTTCGCTGGTCCCTCACCCAAGCTGTGAACACCACTGAGGCTTCCTGTTGTGGTTTCCTGCCTCGGCTGAAACGCCTCCTGTTCTCCCTTCCTGTTCTCATCAGGGCCATTTCGGGGCTTGATGGAGACAACAAACAAATAGGTACAGAATGGTCTGGTTACCATAAATCCAGCTCCACGAGGGTCTTTGCCCCACGAGGGTTGGTTCCTCCTCAGCAGTTTCCTCCTCACCCTTATCCCATTCCCACCCACCTCGAGCACAAATTCAGCCAACCCCTTCCCAGCTCCAGTGATCTCAGAGGCTGGCAGGAGGCAGCCTTGCCACTGTGGTGCTGAGAGGGATGAAGGAGCCTGGGGGAGCCCCAGCAGGGCTGACCACCAGCCCAGACACAGCTCCAGCCACTGCCTGAGAGCAGAGGCCACAGCAATGGGCTCAACCCATTGGGTAGTGACTTCTCCCACAGTGTTCATAAATAAGGGTCAAATTGGGAAGAACCAAGGCAAATTGCCCAAAAACCCAGTGTCCTCTTTACTCTCCCAGTGTCTGCTTTACTCTGAACACGAGTGACGTGTTTGTGGGATGGGGACAACCACTCTGACCTTTCTTGGGGTCGTCGTCTGCGCAGGGAACAAATGAGACCCTTCAGATCTGATGATGTTTCCATGAATCACAGCAAATTGGCCTCTGTCAACACCCTCTGGGTGGGATTCTGGATGATTCAAGATAGAGATACAGGACTTGTGTAGATACAGAAGAAGGGCCTCTGCAGCGACTCGGTCAACAACGTGCCCCTTTCTGCCAGCGGGATCAGAGTATCAGCCAAATTCAGAAACCACCAGAGTCAGGTATTGTGGGGAAAAGAAAACATAGATTGTTCAAAGGACAGTTAGAGGAAAGTTTCTTCTTGTTCCCATCGACTGATGGTTGATGTCTGCCCAGAAGCACTTGGGCTTATCTCTATCTCCTCGTGCTGTGTTTGGTGCAATCGTGTATCTAAATTCTTCTTAGACATCTCATGTTGTAATCTTACTGCATTTAAGATTCTGGCCTCAGAGACCTCCTTGACAAAACTAATTTACTCAGAGAGGTGAAAGAATTTCCTTTTATTGTGAAAAGAGGGCTGGAGAGAAAATGGTAGGAAGTCAAGGCTGAAAACTTCGGGATGGATGTGAGAAGCACTTTTTTAATAGTGAAGATAATTAACCATTTGGAGTGATTCACTGCAGGATTTGGTGCATTCTTTATTGCTTGGAATCTTTAAATCAAGCTCAGATGGGTTTTACTTATACTTTGTAGCTCTATTTAGGGCAGGGTGGAGGAATCCTGTGGGATGCTGTGGATGGGGATATGGATAGAGTGCATATTTAGGAAGAGGTGCTGACCTTCTCAGGAAGTAGGTGCAGTGAAAGCACCTGAACTAACATTTCTCTCCTGCAGTGCTAGAACAGGCAGAAAAAGCAAAGGCAATAAAGGATTTTAGTTTTTTCACAAGTATTGGTCAAAGTCCTGGGTGTGAGGTTGTGGGTTTGTTTGTTTGTTTGTTTGTTTTTGTTTTGTTTTTGTTTGTTTGTTTTAACATTCTACTCTAACATTTATCCCTGATGTTCCTCTCCACAAGAGGTTTGAAATGACTCAGAGAGTCAGCTGAGGGCTGAAGAACCTCAAGACAGAGGAGTCTTAATTCCAACTAACCATTTTTGCAAAATTATGTGTCAGTGAAGAACATTTAGGGCAACGAGCGACTGGTGAAGGGTCTGGAGCACAAGTTCTGTGAGGAGCAGCTGAGGGAGCTGGGGGGGCTCAGCCTGGAGAAGAGGAGGCTCAGGGGAGACCTCATCACTCTCTACAACTCCCTGACAGGAGGGGGGAGCCAGGGGGGGGTTGGTCTCCTCTCCCAGAAACCAGCAGTAGGACAAGAGGGCACAGCCTTCAGCTGTGCCAGGGGAGGTTTAGGTTGGACATCAGGAAGAAATTCTTCTCAGAGAGAGGGATCAGACACTGGAATGGGCTGCCCAGGGAGTGGGGGGAGTCACCGTCCCTGGAGGTGTTTAAGGACAGACTGGGATCAGTGCCATGGTCTGGGTGATCAGGTGGTGTTGGGTCATGGGTTGGACTCCATGACCTCAGAGGTGTTTTCCAACCTGGTTGATCCTGTGATTCTGTGATTCCATCAATTTTCCCTTCCAGACTGAGCACCAGCAGCGCGTGAACCACCCGGAGTCGTCCCAGGAAGGTCCCGGAGATGCCGGATGCTGCCGCCCACCTGCCCTTCTACTACGGCAGCATCGCCAGGTCGGAGGCCGAGGAGCACCTGAAGCTGGCGGGGATGTCGGACGGGCTGTTCCTGCTGCGGCAGTGCCTGCGCAGCCTGGGCGGGTACGTGCTGTCCGTGGTGTTCGACCTGCAGTTCTACCACTACCCCATCGAGCGCCAGCTGAACGGCACCTACGCCATCCTGGGGGGCAAGGCCCACTGCGGGCCCGAGGAGCTCTGCGAGTTCTACTCCAAGGACGCCGACGGGCTGTGCTGCCCCCTCCGCAAACCCTGCAACCGGCCCAGCGGGGTGGAGCCCCAGCCCGGGGTGTTCGACAGCATGAGGGACAACATGGTGCGGGAGTACGTCCGGCAGACGTGGAAACTGGAGGTACCGGCCCTTTCCAGGAGTGGGAATGTGCAAGGGGTGCTCACGCCCTGCTGCTTGCCCCCCGACCCCTCTGCCACCGCCACCCTGCCCGAAGATTTATGGCGAGGAGATTAGAGTTCTTTGCTTTCCTGCCCAGAAGAAGCATCTTTCCCAGAGGAAATGTTAGGTGTTTTCTCCTCCTGCATTCCAGAGAAACTTTCTCTGGTATGAGGAAAGAGAGAAGAACTCACAGACATACTAAGGGTTTCTGGGGTGGGGAGGGAAGGGGGCCAGCGATGATAAAAGCCCTGAGCAGAGCAGGAGTGGGGCTTTTCTCAGACCCAGTGTTCAGAGCACCGTTAAGATAATTTCCTTGGAAGTCCAGTGTTCTTGACTCTGGAAATAAATTTTCCTACAATCCTTCCACTGCCTAGCATTTCAAGGGTACCTGTGTGTTATCTTACTTCACAGCCACTGTCATCCCCCTCCTGCTCTTGCATCATCCTCTTGTTCTTGCCCCCTCTAGAGCAAGGTCCTTCTTGGAGGCTGATGGCACTAAGAACAGTCTTAATTCCTCTCTTTCACAGTTCCTTCTTCAGAAACAGGTCTAAACATCTTCCCAAACCTTCTTGAGCTCTGACAGAGCCTGCCAGAGCTCTGGCATTTGGATGATCCTCTGGGGCACAGGGTGTGACTCTTGGGATGGTCCTGTGCAGGGCTAAGAGTTGGACTCGATGCTCCTTGTGGGTCCCTTCCAACTCTGTGATTCTGTGACTCCCCCTCAGAACACCTAGAGTTCCCTTTGCCAGCTTTCCCCCACGTGTCCTTCTCTCCTCTGCAGCCCATGGGATGCTCCCTGCCTTAGATCAGTGCTCTTCACATGAGATGCCTCCAAATTTTGTGCTGAAAATGGAATGAAACCAGACTTAGACTTTTGCTCAGGTCTTCCTCTCTCTTTGGAGTGGAGTCTTTGCCTATTTGAAGGCTTTTCCTACGTAGAGGGTTTTTTTTTGCCAATGGAACTGTTACCTCTGAGCCTGAGGTAGTTGGTAGTGGATCAGGTCTCTCATTTAAATTTAGATACTATGATAGTAGTATCTAAATAACTACAGACAGGTTCCTGTATTTTATTACAGACTAGAATACATATAATATATGAATAAAGCAAAACTCTCTAAGTGGTCACACTGGCAGCCCTGTAATTAATTTCCTTCTACCTCCTGTCACCTTGACAGTGGCTACTCAGACTCCTCCAAGTGTGATTTTGTTGTTTCATTGGAAGGGGCTGCCTGGGAAGGTGGTGGAATCACCATTCCTGGAGGTTTCCAAGGAATGACTGGACGTGGCACTCAGTGCTCTGAGCCAGTTCACAACGTTGGGATCGGTCACAGGTTGGAATTGTTGATCTTGGGGGTCTTTTCCAACCTAATTGATCCTGTGATTCCATATTTTAATTCAAGTCCTGGCAGACATACGGCTCAGGAATTGTCCTTATGGAGCCTTTCTACAAAAGCTCTCTAAATTTGGCCTGGTTTAGAGCAAAGGTATTTGACAGAATGAGGTATTCTATAGGGTTTCTATAGCAGAATGAGGTATTCTGGACCAGAATGAGGTATTTTGTGCCAGAATTCTATACCAGAAGCAGGTGTTCCATGGGGTTTCTCCACGAAGCAGATCTGTGGCCACTGACAGATAACACAAAGGACATCGCCACCTCCTGGCAATGAAAAATAACAGTTTAGAGCAGGTGTGAGCTCGGGGAAATGAATCGAGGGTCCCCCACTTGATTTCCAGACTGCACTGCTCTTGCCAAGTTCTGGTGTCTGGAGCTGGTGAGCAGCCAGGAAGGCAGGAGCACCAGAGATGTTCTGCTTTAAAGAAAATCATGGAATTCTGGAACCTCCTGAGTTTGAAGGGACCCACAAGGCCGTGCCCACTGCCCTGGGGAGCCTGGGCAGTGCCCCAGCACCCTCTGGGGGAAGAACCTTTCCCTGAGATCCATCCCAACCCCCCTGGCACAGCTCCAGCCCTTCCCTGGCTCCTGTCCCTGGTCCCAGAGCAGAGCTCAGCGCCTGCCCCTCCGCCTCCCCTCGGGAGGAGCTGCAGCCCCCGAGGAGTCTCCCCTCAGTCTCCTCTGCTCCAGCTGAACCAGCCCAGTGCCCTCAGCTGCTCCTCAGACCTTCCCCATCCCTGTGTGCTTCTTCTGGACACTCTCCAACATCCTTCTGACGTTGATTAGATGTTTCTGACACTGTGGCCCCCAAACAGCCCCCAGAACTCGAGGTGAGGCTGCCCCAGCTCAGAGCAGGGTGGGACAATCCCCTCCCTGGCCCGGCCGGCGATGCTGGGCCTGATGCCCCCCAGGACACGGTGGCCCTTTGGGCTGCCAGGACACTCTGCTGACTCAGACCCAACTTTCCACCCACCAAGAGCCCCTCCCAAGGAATGCAAGGCTGAAAGACACCCCACAACCCTGGCATCAAGTTCCACCACATTAATGTGATGATTTTTTCTTCCCTCACCAGCGAGTCAATGGACTTCAGCTGGATTCAAGGGATGAGGTCAACTGAGAGAAGAAAGGAATTCTGCTCTGCAGCAGAACAGAATTCTGCCATGACCCATTGTTGGGTCACAGTCACTTTAATTAGGAAACCCTCCAAGTTTCCTGCGTCATCTGCCCCAACTGGTGCAAAATCAGCTGTGCTGAAGCCTTGCAAAGGTGCAGCAGAATGGCAGGAGGTCTCCTTTCCCACTCTTTTCCAGGGGGATGCACTGGAACAGGCCATCATAAGCCAGGCTCCACAGGTGGAGAAGCTGGTTGCCACCACAGCCCATGAGAGGATGGCCTGGTACCACGGCAGCATCACCCGGGACGAGGCTGAACGGAGGCTCTACTCGGGGGCACAGCCTGACGGGAAATTCCTGTGAGTATCCAAACCATGGCAGATGCTGTGATCCCTGTGCTTTTTACCCTTTCCCCACCTCCACCATCCTGTAATTATTGCTTTCACATGACAGTTCTGAGAGGAGGTTTAGCTGATTGTGGTCAGGCTGGTTACAGATATTTCAAAGACAGGGGGTTAAGACCCCAAATCTGTTATTGCCCAGACAGCATCTGGACTCCATGAAGAGCCAATCTTGAGCTTTATTTATTTCTCATGTTGAAATATCTCTATGAAATGTGCTTTCCACTGCACTGGATGATATGAAATACAGGGTTCAGTTGATGAAGGCATTTAACACTGACAGTTTGGCAATGTATGGCCCATAAAACACAGGAGAAAGCATTTGCTCTGCATCTCTGCCAAGGTGAGACAGCCCTTAATTGAATTATCTCCTGAATGAGTCAGGGAAAGGAAGAATTAGCTGGAGAACGGTTCATCAGGAACTTTAGTGATGGGACAAGGGGGAATGGGTTTAATCTGAAAGAGGGGAAATTTAGATTGGATATTGGGAAGGAATCCTTCCCTGTGAGGGTGGGGAGGCCCTGGCACAGGTTGCCCAGAGAAGCTGTGGCTGCCCCATCCCTGGAAGTGTCCAAGGCCAGGTTGGAGCAACCAGGGCTAGTGGAAGGTGTCCCTGCCCATGGCAGGGGGGCAGAACTCGATGATCTTTAAGGTCCCTTCCCACCCAAACCATTCTGGGATTCCATGAGAGAGGCAAAAACCAGAAGTTGAAGGATCCCCCTCGGCATCTTCAGAGGGGTGTCTGGAAGGTGGCAATTCCAACAGTGGATTCAGGGACACCTTTCCACGTGCCCACCCACCCCTGGCAACCATGACAACTTGCAGGGCAAATTCTAGAGCTACTTTTAATAGTTCTCCTTCCTTCCAGGCTGAGAGAAAGGAAGGAAAACGGCGCCTACGCCCTGTCCCTTGTCTATGGCAAGACTGTGTATCACTACAGGGTGGACCAGGACAAGTCTGGCAAATACTCCATCCCTGAGGGCACCAAGTTCGACACACTCTGGCAGGTAAAGTGCTGGGGGTGCTGAAAACTGGTGTCTGAGAAAGCACAGGCATTTTTCACTTGTTATTCTGAGTTGGAAGGGACCCACGAGGATTGTCATCAAAACCACAGCCTTGGTGTGATCAGCACCAGGCTCTGACCAACTGTAGCTGTCTTGAGGGACAGGAAAGGCCATATGAACCTTTAAAGGCTTTAAAAGCATCCATGGGTGGTGATATGGGTGGTTCTTTCCCTTCCAGAAACCCCTGAAATTGCTCATCCCATGTCCCTCCCGTGTGTTTCCCAGACTGCTCCAAGACTGGCAAAGCCGTTGGCTACAGGTTGCCACACCATGTTCCAAGGGACTGGTTTTGGTGCAGAGTAGGGGAGTGCAGAAATCTGGAGCCAGCTGCTGAAATCTTTCTGTGGCTGAAGATCCCAGTGGCAGGAGACACATCCTGTCACCCCTGAGAGCGGGAAGGGGACATGGCTGTGATGACCCAGCAATCCTTATGGAGGTGGGGTGGGTTTTTAGGGAATGGGACACATGGTCCAGCAACTCTTGGCACTGCTGGGGAGTCCATATCCCCCCCCCCAGAGCCCAGCTGTGCCCCCTGGCACCCACCTCAGACCTGCTCCAGGGAGCAGATCCCAGAGCTTCCCCCTGGGCAGGGCTGCCTGGGGGGACAGTAACTCTCTTTTGCTGAATTTTCCAAATTCCCAGAACTGTTTTCACTCTGAGTTTGATTGAAAACAAAGGCCTGGGGGCACTTTTATGGCAACAGAACCATGTCAGGCTCCCAATTGCAGCTGAAATCTGAGCCAGACAGGAGGAGAAGAGAAAGCCTTGTGTCCCTGTGGTCCAGTGGCCAGGGCTGGGCTGGTTGTCTCCAGCCACAGTCAAATCCCCGCTGTGCTTGGACCAGTGGTGCTGCAGGGAAAAGCTGCCTGGGATCCTCAGAGCTAATGCTGGAGTTCCTCTGGGAAAGCAAAACGTTTCTCTCAGGCTTTATCAAACACAAAAGGACTTAAAAAACCTTTCTGGCTGGGACAATAATATTACACTGAAAATCTCATACCAGAGGTTTCCTTTTGTCTTTCTTTGGTCCTTATCTGACTTCCAAAGTTCTTCCCAGCTCTGGCAGATATCCAAATATACAAGCACTTACTGTAGGACATCCCTGAGTGAGCAGATCTCCTTTTAGACAGAGGAGAGAAACATTCTAGTCCTTGCCTGCCATAAATCTGAGAGGAACCATTGCCATAAGCCACAAAAGTTGTCTTAAACAAAAAATAGAGGTGATTTTTTCCCTCACAATAATCTCTTTTTCCTCCGATTCCTTCTGCAGCTGGTGGAATACCTAAAACTCAAACCAGATGGGCTGATTTTCTACCTGAAGGAAACCTGTCCCAACCCCAACCTGCCAGGTGAGCTGACATCTCCCAGTGCCACCCCTGGCCTGGGTTTGCCATCGAGTGGTGCCAGTTTGAGTGGTGCCAACCCGCATTTCCCTCCCTGTGTCCAACCTTGCTCAGCCCTTGGTGGGGAGGGAGCACTGAGGTCTCTGCTCCTCTGGCAAACTGGGCCAGTCTCATGTCATGTTGTCTGCTCAAAGTGGCCACTCTCCTGGCCTGGCCTAAGGAGGCCCAAAGGCAGGAGCAGATGGGGAGAACCAGTGCCTCAAATGGATCAGGGACTCCTGGTGCCAAACAGAAACTCTGAGGAGTCTCTGAAGCCAAAAGGCTTCTGAAAATCACCTGCTGTTCAGGCAGCAGGAAACATGTCCTGCAAGGCTGGGTCCTGGTGGGTCCCTGGAGCTGAACGATCCAAACCATGGGTCACTTTGTGCTGGTCCAAGTGTCACAAATGTCCCTTCAGAGCCTGCCCATGGGAGCCTCACTCTCCTCAGCCATTCTCTGCTCTGGGACTGATGGAGACTGATTATTCCCACTGATTTGGGAATAACAACCATATCCAGGCACGTTTCCACACCTTTTTTTTGTCTAAAGCTGTGAAAACTGTCCTTTGGGGGGTGGAGGGGATGTGATCAGACACAGCCCTTCAAAGACTGCTCTGATCCTGCTAAGGCTTAGGCAAACTCCTAATTTCTCTCTCCTGATTCGCAGCATCTGCAGCACCAGCTCCACCAACCCACCCCTCTGTGAGCGTAAGTTTTTTGGGGGGTCTCTTTTATTGGTACCTCAGTGGTTTAATGCTGTTGCATTTCAAGCTTTGCTGATCAAACTCTGCTCTCCAAACTCTGCTTTTCCCTAAAACTTGGTAACTCCAATGGACTCTATTAGGCCCATCTGTGACATTGTCCCTTTTCCAGCTCGGATGGGGATGAGGAATCGCTGGGCACAGCTACTGTTGGAGCTGAAAATGGTTTCCATTCATACTGAGCTCCTTGCAACACCCTTGGGGGGGCCTCTGCCCCTGCCCTCCTTGCCAGGCAGGAGCGAGGAGGACGTGGTTGGATTCTGGGAACACTCAGCCCACTGGCCCTTGGCCAGGTCTTTGTGCTCCCTTGGCCTTGGGGCACGTCTGGGCTCAGTCACAGCTCCCAGAGCTGAGCTGTGTTGAAACCAGGGAGTTTGGGGGCTCAGAGCTCTTCCCAGAGCCCAGTGGAGCTGAGTGAGGCCTGAGCACTCCCCCATTGTCTCGGGAGCTTTCACAATCCGTGCTGGGCTCCCACGTCACAGGATCACAGAATATGCTGAGTGGGATGGGACCCCCAGGGATCACCAGTCCAACTCCTGGCCCTGCCCAGGACACCCCAACAATCCCACCCTGTCCCTCAGAGTGTTGTCCAAACGCTCCTGGAGCTCTGGCAGCCTCGGGGCCGTGCCCACTGCCCTGGGGAGCCTGGGCAGTGCCCCAGCACCCTCTGGGGGAAGAACCTTTCCCTGAGATCCATCCCAACCCCCCTGGCACAGCTCCAGCCCTTCCCTGGCTCCTGTCCCTGGTCCCCCCAGAGCAGAGCTCAGTCCCTGCCCCTCCTCTGCCCCTGCCCAGGAAGTTGGAACTGCAGTGAGGTCTCCCCTCAGTCTCCTCTGCTCCAGCTGAACACACCAAGTGCCCTTGGTCTGCCCTTCAAGGCCCTTCCCCATCTTCACTGCCCTCCTTTGGACACTCTCTGATGGCTTCAGATCTTATACTGTGGTGCCCAAAACTGCCACGTCCTGG